TATGGCAACTGCTTGGCCTCCGACCGCAAGGCACTACAGAGGGTAGTGCGTACGGCCCAGTACATCACTGGGGCCAAGCTTCCTGCCATCCAGGACCTCTATACCAGGCGGTGTCAGAGGAAGGCCCTCAAAATTGTCAAAGACTCCAGCCACCCTAGTCATAGACTGTTCTCTCTGCTACCGCACGGCAAGCAGTACCGGAGTGCCAAGTCTAGGTCCAAAAGACTTCTCAACAGCTTCTACCCCCAAGCCATAAGACTCCTGAACAGCTAATCATGGCTACCCAGACTATTTGCACTGGCCCCCCACCCCATCTTTTTACACTGCTGCTACTCTGTTAATTATTTATGCATAGTCACTTTAACTCTACCCACATGTACATATTACTTCAACTACCTCAAGTAGCCGGTGCCCCCGCACGTTGACTCTGCACCGGTACCCCCCTGTATATATAGCCTCCCTACTGTTATTTTATTTTACTTCTGCTCTTTTTTTCTCAACACTTTTTTGTTGTTGTTTTATTTTACTTTTTTATTTAAAATAAATGCACTGTTGGTTAAGGGCTGTAAGTAAGCATTTCACTGTAATGTCTGCACCTGTTGTATTCGGCGCATGTGGCCAATACAATTTGATTTGATTTGATTTGATTGGCTGTTTGTTTCATGTCTGCAACGTAGTTAAAATGCTGTCAGTTCCACTTTCAACACACACGCACATGCACACACACACACACACACACACACACACACAGATAGCAGAGACCAGGGAGAACACAGAGAGCAGAGCGATAACAGAGACCAGGGAGATTACAGAGACCAGGGAGATTACAGAGACCAGGGAGATTACAGAGACCTGGGAGATTACAGAGACCAGTGAGATTACAGAGACCAGGGAGATTACAGAGACCAGGGAGATTACAGAGACCAGGGAGATTACAGAGACTAGGGTGATTACAGAGACCAGGGTGATTACAGAGACCAGGGAGATTACATAGACCAGGGAGATTACAGAGACCAGGGAGATTACAGAGACCAGGGAGATTACAGAGACCAGGGAGATTACAGAGACCAGGGAGATTACAGAGACCAGGGTGATTACAGAGACCAGGATGATTACAGAGACTAGGGAGATTACAGAGACTAGGGTATTTACAGAGACCAGGGTGATTACAGAGACCAGGGAGATTACATAGACCAGGGAGATTACAGAGACCAGGGAGATTACAGAGACCAGGGAGATTACAGAGACCAGGGAGATTACAGAGACCTGGGAGATTACAGAGACCAGGGAGATTACAGAGACCAGGGAGATTACAGAGACATGGGAGATTACAGAGACATGGGAGATTACAGAGACCAGGGAGAATACAGAGACCAGGGAGATTACAGAGACCAGGGAGATTACAGAGACCAGGGTGATTACAGAGACCAGGGTGATTACAGAGACCAGGTAGATAACAGAGTCAAGAGAGAAGGAGATAAACAACTCAGTCTGACTCTCATTTCATAGCTCAGTAACTCTCACCCAAACTCTACCATCTGGAGTCTTACAGACATTGGAAACAGAGCATTTTTCATCTTTAAAGGAAGATATTGGTATTCACCAACAACTGTCTACTGTATCTGTCTGCCATGTGATGAAGTGATAATTTGATTCATGAAACCATCAGCCTCCACTTACTGGATAATTAAACAGTTGAATAGTTTTGAGCTTTTCAAGACTTTGTGCCCACAGCAGCGTGTGTGGTTTGTGTGTTTTAATGTCACGTGAAGGACAGTGAAATGCCTTTCTAACTCCAAACCCAATAATGTAGTAATCAATATCAATGTAGTACTAAAAATAACATGAGGTAGAAAAAAACACACAAAAAATACAAATAAGAAATAAGAAGAAAACGAGAAGTACAGTAAGTTAGCTATATACAGGCACAGATCCAGGGTCAGTAGCTATATACAGGGACAGATCCAGGGTCAGTAGCTATATACAGGGACAGATCCAGGGTCAGTAGCTATATACAGGGACAGATCCAGGGTCAGTAGCTATATACAGGGACAGATCCAGGGTCAGCAGCTATATACAGGGTCAGTTCCAGGGTCAGTAGCTATATACAGGGACAGTTCTAGGGTCAGCAGCTATATACAGGGTCCGTTCCAGGCTCAGCAGCTACTGTATATAGAGGGTCAGTCAGGTCAATTAAACAAATTTAAAAAACTGAAATATCTCATTTACATAAGTGTTCAGACCCTTTACTCAGTACTTTGTTGAAGCACCTTTGTCAGCGATTACAGACTTGAGTCTTCTTGGGTATGACACTACAAGCTTGGCACACCTGTATTTGGGGAGTTTCTCCCATTCTTCTCTGCAGATCCTCTCTAGCTGTGTCAGGTTGGATGGGGAGAGTTGCTGCACAGCTATTTTCAGGTCTCTCCAGAGATGTTCGATCAGGTTCAAGTCCAGGCTCTGGCTCTGGCTGGGCCACTCAAGGACATTCAGAGACTTGTCCCGAAGCCACTCCTGCGTTGTCTTGGCTGTGTGCTTAGGGTCGTTGTCCTGTTGGAAGGTGAACCACAATGCTGCCACAACCATGCTTCACCATAGGGATGGTGCCAAGTTTCCTCCAGACGTGACACTTGGCATTCATGCCAAAGAGTTCAATATTGGTTTCATCAGACCAGAGAATCTTGTTTCTCATGGTCTGAGAGTCTTTAGCTGCCTTTTGGCAAACTCCAAGTGGGCTGTCATGTGCCTTTTACTGAGTAGTGGCTTCCGTCTGGCCACTCTACCATAAAGGCCTGATTGGTGGAGTGCTGCAGAGATAGTTGTCCTTCTGGAAGGTTCTCCCATCTCCACAAAGGAAATCTGGAGCTCTGTCAGAGTGACCATCAGGTTCTTGTTCACCTCCCTGACCAAGGCCCTTCTCCCCCGATTGCTCAGTTTGGCCGGGTGGCCAGCTCTAGGAAGAGTCTTGGTGGTTCCAAACTTCTTCCATTTAAGAATGATGGAGGCCACTGTGTTCTTGGGGACCTTCAATGATGCAGACATTTTTTGGTACATTTCCCAAAATCTGTGCCTTGACACAATCCTGTCTCGGAGCTCTACGGACAATTCCTTCGACCTCATGGCTTGGTTTTTGCTCTGACATGCACTGTCAACTGTGGGACCTTTATATAGACAGGTGTGTCTTTCCAAATCATGTCCAATCAATTGAATTTACCACAGGTGGACTCCAATCAAGTTGTAGAAACATCTCAAGGATGATCAATGGAAACAGGATGCACCTGAGCTCAATTTCGTGTCTCATAGCAAAGGGTCTGAATACTTATGTAAATAAGGTATTTCTGTTTTTCATTTTTAATACATTTGCAAACATTTCTAAAAACCTGTTTTCATTTTGTCAGTATGGGGTATTGTGTGTAGATTGATGAGGATTTTTTATTTATTTAATCCATTTTATAATAAGTCTGTAACGTAACACGATGTGGAAAAAGTCAAGGGGTCTGAATACTTTCCGAAGGCACTGTATGTGTTTGTGTGTGTGAGTGTGAGTGCCTGTGTCAGTGAGAGAGAAATACGTTGAGATAATTAATTTTGTGATGCATCTCACAATTTCCCCATCCTGTTAATTGTTTGTTACACCCAGACTTCGCACCAATTAATTATGTCACCCTATTTTGATAATAGGCTATTGATGTTCTGGTGTTGAGAACATCAGTCGATCCCCCTTTGCTCCGCTTGTTGATCAAACCTATCCATGAAAAAAATACTTTATGGCCTGATCCCTGATCTTTACTGGATGTGCTTTAGAAGGACAGTACAGATTAGGGTTGTCACCATATCACAATACTACATTTTTCATAGCAAAAAGTAAACACAAAGCAGACAGAACTCTATGGCCCTTTAAAAACCGCCTGTATCTAAAATATTGTGTGATATAGCTTGGAACAAAGAAAAAAGTGATGGATGGTTAAATCTGGGATCTCGTGGTCAAGTACTTTAGACCAGATTTATTTTACTGTATAGGGGAGAAGGGAGGAGGGGAGAGAGAGAAGAGAGAGAGGGTTAGGGGGAGAGAGGGAAGAGAGGGGAGAGGAGGGTTAGGGGGAGAGAGGGAAGAGAGGGGAGAGAGAAGGTTAGGGGGAGAGAGGGAGGAGGGGAGAGAGAGAAGAGAGAGAGGGTTAGGGGGAGAGAGGGAAGAGAGGGGAGAGAGAAGGTTAGAGGGAGAGAGGGAAGAGAGGGGAGAGAGAGAGGGGAGAGAGAGAGGTTTGGGGGAGGGAGGGAGGAGAGAGAGGGAAGAGAGAGAGGGTTAGGGGGAGGGAGGGAGGGAGGAGAGATAGGGAAGAGAGAGAGGGTTAGGGGGAGAGAGGGAAGAGAGGGGAGAGAGGGGAGAGTGAGAGTGAGAGGGTTATGGGGAGGGAGGGAAGAGAGGGGAGAGGAGGGTTAGGGGGAGAGAGGGAAGAGAGAGAGGGAAGAGAGAGAGGGTTAGGGGGAGGGAGGGAGGGAGGAGGAGAGAGGGAAGAGAGAGGGTTAGGGGAGAGAGGGAAGAGAGGGGAGAGAGAGAGGGTTAGTGGGAGAGAGGGAAGAGAGGGGAGAGAGAGGGGAGAGAGAGAGAGGGTTAGGGGGAGGGAGGGAGGAGAGGGGAGAGAGAGAGGGTTAGGGGGAGGGAGAGTGAGAGTGAGAGAGGGGAGAGAGAGAGGATTAGGTGGAGGGAGGAGAGAGGGGAGAGGGGAGAGAGAGAGGGTTAGGTGGAGTGAGGAGAGAGAGGGGAGAGAGAGAGGGTTAGGTGGAGTGAGGAGAGAGAGGGGAGAGAGAGAGGGTTAGGGGGAGGGAGGGAGGAGAGGGGAGAGAGAGAGGGTTAGGTGGAGTGAGGAGAGCGAGGGGAGAGAGAGAGGGTTAGGGGGAGGGAGGGAGGAGAGGGGAGAGAGAGATGGTTAGGTGGAGTGAGGAGAGAGTGAGGAGAGAGAGAGGGTTAGGGGGAGGGAGGGAGGAGAGGGGAGAGAGAGATGAGAGAGGACATTCACCATTCATCTAGTGTTTTGTTTTCATGAACTGCTTGCCTCTTTTCATCAGCAGGGAATCGATCAGATATATTTTCCCCCAGTTACCGTTACCATTACCGGTAGTCACGTCCGAGGGCTTTTTTTGTCCCAAGTGCTATATGATTCATCTATGTGTGTGTGTGTGTGTGTGTGTGTGTGTACTTTTCTAACTTTGTGTAATCTGGATACAAAGGAGTAGTGTAAACTGTGTGTGTGTGTGTGTTTAACTCTTGCTTTAACTCTTTGTAGAGCTGGATGCAGAAGAGTGGTGTAAGCTGCTGTGTGTGGAGTGTCTAGGAAGCTGTCTGAATGACATCAGCCTGGGAGAACCAGACCTGTTAGCAGCGGGGGTGCAGCAGGAGCAGAGCGGTGAGTCCCCATTTAGAACCCTAGCTAATGTAGGCTATTGTGGGTCAATGTTGCACCGAACTGGTTAGCAGTTACAATACCGGCCTTTATGTGTTAGTGCAACTGAGTCCTTAGAGGTTTGTGAGAGGGGAACGGTGAGTCTACTATTAGTCCCTGCCAATAGAGGCCATTTTGGTTCGATCTCTCCCCCCAACCAGCACAGCACTTGTAGGCAGTTTCATTACTGGCCCAAAAGTGTTAGTGCAACAGAGGTCTGTGTGTGTGTGTGTGTGTGTGTGTGTGTGTGAATTGATGCATGTGTGTGTGTTGTGTACGTGTGTGTACGTGCTTTTGAGTGTGTGTGTGTGTGTGTGTGTGTGTGTGTTCCTAGCCTAATGAGAGGTGCTGTGCATCACTGGATCCCCTCATAATGAAGCTTGTCACAGAGATGGATGAGATTATAGATGCTGGGGATGAGGCCATGTGACATCACATCCAGGAAATAGAAAGGAGAAAAGGATGTTAATAAAAAAAGAGGGAAGGTATAGCTGTTATTACAAATAATACATAGACTAGCTTTGGAAATGATTGCAGTGTGTGTGTGTGTGTGGTGTGTGTGGTGTGTGTGTGTGTGTGTGTGTGTGTGTGTGTGTGTGTGTGTGTGTGTGTGTGTGTGTGTGTGTGTGTGTGTGTGTGTGTGTGTGTGTGTGTGTGTGTGTGTGTGTGTGTGTGTGTGTGTGTGTGTGTGTGTGTGTGTGTTTGTAATTTGTAGACTTTGGAAATAAAATAATAAAAAAACAGTTCTGAATGGTAAAGATGGAGTGTAACTGAATGGTAAAGATGGAGTGTAACTAAATGGTAAAGATGGAGTGTAACTGAATGGTAAAGATGGTGTGTAACTGAATGGTAAAGATGGAGTGTAACTGAATGGTAAAGATGGTGTGTAACTGAATGGTAAAGATGGAGTGTAACTGAATAGTAAAGATGGAGTGTAACTGAATGGTAAAGAGGGAGTGTAACTGAATGGTAAAGATGGAGTGTAACTGAATGGTAAAGATGGAGTGTAACTGAATGGTAAAGATGGAGTGTAACTGAATGGTAAAGATGGAGTGTAACTGAATGGTAAAGAGGGAGTGTAACTGAATGGTAAAGATGGAGTGTAACTGAATGTTAAACAGGGAGTGTAACTGAATGGTAAAGATGGAGTGTAACTGAATGCTAATGATGGAGTGTAACTGAATGGTAAAGATGGAGTGTAACTGAATGCTAATGATGGAGTGTAACTGAATGGTAAAGATGGAGTGTAACTGAATGGTAAAGATGGAGTGTAACTGAATGGTAAAGATGGAGTGTAACTAAATGGTAAAGATGGAGTGTAACTGAATGCTAATGATGGAGTGTAACTGAATGGTAAAGATGGAGTGTAACTGGATGGTAAAGAGGGAGTGTAACTGAATGTTAAACAGGGAGTGTAACTGAATGGTAAAGATGGAGTGTAACTGAATGCTAATGATGGAGTGTAACTGAATGGTAAAGATGGAGTGTAACTGAATGCTAATGATGGAGTGTAACTGAATGGTAAAGATGGAGTGTAACTGAATGGTAAAGATGGAGTGTAACTAAATGGTAAAGATGGAGTGTAACTGAATGGTAAAGATGGAGTGTAACTGAATGGTAAAGATGGAGTGTAACTGAATGGTAAAGATGGAGTGTAACTGAATGGTAAAGATGGAGTGTAACTGAATGGTAAAGATAGAGTGTAACTGAATGGTAAAGATGGAGTGTAACTGAATGGTAAAGATGGAGTGTAACTGAATGGTAAAGATGGAGTGTAACTGAATGGTAAAGATGGAGTGTAACTGAATGGTAAAGATGGAGTGTAACTGAATGGTAAAGATGGAGTGTAACTGAATGGTAAAGATGGAGTGTAACTGAATGGTAAAGATGGAGTGTAACTGAATGGTAAAGATGGAGTGTAACTAAATGGTAAAGATGGAGTGTAACTGAATGCTAATGATGGAGTGTAACTGAATGGTAAAGATGGAGTGTAACTGGATGGTAAAGAGGGAGTGTAACTGAATGTTAAACAGGGAGTGTAACTGAATGGTAAAGATGGAGTGTAACTGAATGCTAATGATGGAGTGTAACTGAATGGTAAAGATGGAGTGTAACTGAATGCTAATGATGGAGTGTAACTGAATGGTAAAGATGGAGTGTAACTGAATGGTAAAGATGGAGTGTAACTAAATGGTAAAGATGGAGTGTAACTGAATGGTAAAGATGGAGTGTAACTGAATGGTAAAGATGGAGTGTAACTGAATGGTAAAGATGGAGTGTAACTGAATGGTAAAGATGGAGTGTAACTGAATGGTAAAGAGGGAGTGTAACTGAATGGTAAAGAGGGAGTGTAACTGAATAGTAAAGATGGAGTGTAACTGAATGGTAATGATGGAGTGTAACTGAATGATAAAGATGGAGTGTAACTGAATGGTAAAGATAGAGTGTAACTGAATGATAAAGATGGAGCGTAACTGAATGGTAAAGAGGGAGTGTCACTGAATGGTATAGTGTTACCCCCTTTTTGGTCTTGTCTCATCACTGCAACTCCCCAATGGGCTCATGAGGCGAAGGTCGAAATATGAGACCTCCGAAACGTGACCCGTCAAACCTCACTTCTTAACACCCACCAGCACCAATGTGCCGGAGGAAACACTGTTCAACTGACAACCGAGGTCAGCCTGCAGGCGCCCGGCCCGCCACAAGGAGTTGCTAGAGCACGATGAGCCAAGTACATCCCCCCGGCCAAACCCTCCCCTAACCCGGGCGACACTGGGCCAATTGTGCGTCGCCCTATGGGACTCCCGATCACGGCCGGTTGTGACACAGCCCCGGATCAAACCCGGGTCTGTACTGACGCCTCTAGCACTGCGATGCAGTGCCTTAGACCGCTGCGCCACTCGGGAGGCCTATGAATCCATCTTGTAATGTGAAGTATCTGAACAGCCCATCTGATTCAATGAACAGTAATAACATGTATCTTCCCTCTCGCAGTTTCGATGTAAAATGACAGGGAAATATTTAATTATATTCATAACATCGAAGTGGTATGGTGTGTGTGTGTGTGTGTGTGTGTTTGGGGGGGGGGGGGGGGGGGGGGCATTCTTAAGAAAGAACGTGAGAAAGAAAGAAACAACAACAGAATCTGAAAGCGAAACACTTTTTAGCACATGTACTAAAATAGTAGACAGCTCCAGACTCAGCAGTTAGACTTCAGTTAGTGATCTCCCAACTACAAGGGGCCGATAATTAAATCAAAGTTCATATTCTTGCTGCTCCTAAAAATAGCTGCGTATTACATCACCATTTTCTCAGTCCTCACTCCAGACTCATGGCTCTTATTTTGAAACATCCTTAGTGAGTATTAATGTAGATTATGAAGAGTTCTCTGAGAGCTGGTTAAAGTGGTTGGGGCTGAGGTCTCTGTTGGGGCCTGGAGCTGTTTGACTGGCTTGTAAAACTATGACAATGGATTGGGGTGCATATCAATAGTCTAAAGTGGCTTCCTCTCCATGTCTGCTTGTCTTCACCTGAACTGATAGAGAAATAGAATACAATTGAAATCAGTATGGTGGACGTGTAATGAGGGAGATTTGCTACCACCTGTCCAGTTTGAGTCAGTTTTGATGAAGCGAAGGAGACGAGGAGAGGAAACATTTCAAGACTATTGAGACACTTTCACCTCTCCTTAGCAACTGGACACTGACCTTCACAATGCTCACCCTTCTTCTTCTTCTTCTTCTTCTTCTTCTTCTTCTTCTTCTTCTTCTTCTTCTTCTTCTTCTTCTTCTTCTTCTTCTTCTCTCTCAAGGAAAAAGGAAAATAACAGAGTCCTTCATAAAGACAATGTCATATTTCTAAGACCAAGTTTATTGTCTTTAGTCTTTATCAGTTTGTTACAGAACGTCCATTTGCGCTGAGCCTCTAAGAACTATTCGATTTCAATGTTCGTATTACTTTTTATGTCTGCTTCATCTTTTTTTCATAATTTGAATGAAGTTATACTGAACAAAAATATAAACGCATCATGCAACAATTTCAACGATTTTACAGAGTTACAGTTCATATAAGGAAATCAGTCAATTTAAATACACTGCTCAAAAAAATAAAGGGAACACTAAAATAACACATCCTAGATCTGAATGAATGAAATAATCTTATTAAATACTTTTTTCTTTACATAGTTGAATGTGCTGACAACAAAATCACACAAAAATTATCAATGGAAATCAAATGTATCTACCCATGGAGGTCTGGATTTGGAGTCACCCTCAAAATTAAAGTGGAAAACCACACTACAGGCTGATCCAACTATGATGTAATGTCCTTAAAACAAGTCAAAATTATGCTCAGTAGTGTGTGTGGCCTCCACGTGCCTGTATGACCTCCCTACAACGCCTGGGCATGCTCCTGATGAGGTGGCGGATGGTCTCCTGAGGGATCTCCTCCCAGACCTGGACTAAAGCATCCGCCAACTCCTGGACAGTCTGTGGTGCAACGTGGCGTTGGTGGATGGAGCGAGACATGATGTCCCAGATGTGCCCAATTGGATTCAGGTCTGGGGAACGGGCGGGCCAGTCCATAGCATCAATGCCTTCCTCTTGCAGGAACTGCTGACACACTCCAGCCACATGAGGTCTAGCATTGTCTTGCATTAGGAGGAACCCAGGGCCAACCGCACCAGCATATGGTCTCAAAAGGGGTCTGAGGATCTCATCTCAAGTACCTAATGGCAGTCAGGCTACCTCTGGCGAGCACATGGAGGATGTTGCAGGCAGCAGAACGTTCTCCACGGCGTCTCCAGACTCTGTCACGTCTGTCACATGTGCTCAGTGTGAACCTGCTTTCATCTGTGAAGAGCACAGGGCGCCAGTGGCGAATTTGCCAATATTGGTGTTCTCTGGCAAATGCCAAACGTCCTGCACGGTGTTGGGCTGTAAGCACAACCCCCACCTGTGGACGTCGGGCCCTCATACCACCCTCATGGAGTCTGTTTCTGACCATTTGAGCAGACACATGCACATTTGTGGCCTGCTGGAGGTCATTTTGCAGGGCTCTGGCAGTGCTCCTCCTGCTCCTCCTTGCACAAAGGCGGAGGTAGCAGTCCTGCTGCTGGGTTGTTGCCCTCCTACGGCCTCCTCCACGTCTCCTGATGTACTGGCCTGTCTCCTGGTAGCGCCTCCATGCTCTGGACACTACGCTGACAGACACAGCAAACCTTCTTGCCACAGCTCGCATTGATGTACCATCCTGGATGAGCTGCACTACATGAGCCACTTGTGTGGGTTGTAGACTCCGTCTCATGCTACCACTAGAGTGAAAGCACCGCCAGCATTCAAAAGTTACCAAAACATCAGCCAGAGAAGTGGTCTGTGGTCACCACCTGCAAAACCAGTCCTTTATTGGGGGTGTCTTGCTAATTGCCTATAATTTCCACCTGTTGTCTATTCCATTTGCACAACAGCATGTGAAATGTATTGTCAATCAGTGTTGCTTCCTAAGTGGACAGTTTGATTTCACAGAAGTGTGATTGACTTGGAGTTACATTGTGTTGTTTAAGTGTTCCCTTTATTTTTTGGAGCAGTGTACATTAATTAGGCCCTAATCTATGGATTTCACATGACTGGGCAGGGGCACAGCCATGGGTGGGCCTGGGAGGGCATAGGCCCACCCACTTGGGAGCCAGGCCCAGACAATCAGAATTAGTTTTTCCCCACAAAATAGTTTTATTAAACACAGAAATACTCCAAAGTTCCATCAGCTGTCCGGGTGGCTGGTCTCTGATGATCCCGCAGGTAAAGAAGCCGGATGTGGAGGTCCTAGGCTGGCGTGGTTACATGTGGTCTGTGGTAGTGAGGCCGGTTGGACGTACTGCCAAATCAACATGCAATTATCTGGCAACAGCTCTGGTGGACATTCCTGCAGTCAGCATGCCAATTTCACACTCCCTCAAAACTTGAGCCATCTGTGGCATTGTGTTGTGTGACAAAACTGCACATTTTAGAGTGGCCTTTTATTGTCCCCAACACAAGGTGCACCTGTGTAAGGATCATGCTGTTTAATCAGCTTCTTGATATGCCACACCTGTCAGGTGGATGTATTATGTTGGCAAAGGATAAATGCTCACTAACAGGGACGTAAACAAATGTCTGCACAACGTTTGAGAGAAATACACTTTTTGTGTGCGAATGGAACATTTCTGGGATCTTTTATTTCAGCTCATGAAACATGGGACCAATACTTTACATGTTGCGTTTATGTTTTTGTTCAGTGTAGTATTTTGAAAGGAGCTGTCTTTTTTTATCCCTTCAGTACATGGATTTCATGCTTATGCAAGCTTCTTTGAATGCTAATTCTGGATTTAAGTAGGCTGTACAACAGCTTGGACTCAAATGCTAGTGATCAAGTGGAGAAACTTATTTCAGTGACTCATTCGCCAGAAGTATACAAAATCCGAACTGATACTGTGGTGTTAGATATAGTCCGTTTTTGACACTGTATGTAGCCTTCTCAGTACACTAATGGCTTCTGTCCGTCTGTCCATCTGTCAGACCCAATGATTTATATATACACTAGAAGACTGATAGGGGGCGCTGTTTTGAAGCCACCCCGCCTCCATCTTGGCACTCCCCCACCATTGTAAAAAAAAACTATTTTGGAAACTATAAAAATGTATTTATTAATGTCTACATTTGTTTTTGCCATGTTTATTCTATTACAGCCACCTTAATGCATACTTTTAAATTGCATTATGTAAACTAAACATAAATATGAAAAAAATATATATTAAAAAATGTCCTTAAAGTATACTTTTTTGAAAGTACTAATGTTACAATCACCACTACAACTTTTTTTTATATACTTAAATACATGTAATTTTGTCCTTGAAACATTTAATTGAAATACTGTAGAATTCCATTAATTCCTATAGAGGACCGCTTCTTCTGCGAAGTGCTAATATGGCCGACCGGTGGCTTCAAAGCCTCTCATTGGCCAATAGATAGGATCAGCAATCCAGGGTTTATATACATAATTGGTCAGCCCATACTCCCAAACCCACCTGTTATAGCCCTCTGATGATTACTGCAGGACCTAATTTTCATGTTTCCTTCAACATTGATTTGTAGCCTTCGCTTTTACTTAAAAGCTTGAAAAGTGGTTAAAAACAGCCAAAATGTGGACTGGAATAGATTCTGTCCAAATGTCAAATTCTTGCTGTTGTAACAATGTTATTCTGCCATTTCAAACATATTTTCTGTTTGTAAAATTGCCATCTTTTATTTTTTTCAAAATCTGTATTCTGTCAAAAACGCTAAAAGCTTTTTGTTCCAGAGCGGTTCAACGTGTACCTGATGCCCACCCCCAACCTGGACATCTATGGGGAATGTACCATGCAGATCACCCATGAGAACATCTACCTGTGGGATATCCACAACGCGCGTGTCAAACTGGTCATGTGGCCCCTCAACTCACTGAGGAGATACGGACGAGACTCCACCTGGTTCACCTTCGAGTCAGGAAGGTATGTTTGTGTTTGTGTGTTTGTGTGTTTGTGTGTGTGTGTTTGTGTTTGTGTTTGTGTGTGTGTGTGTGTGTGTGTGTGTGTGTGTGTGTGTGTGTGTGTGTGTGTGTGTGTGTGATAATCCATCTGGCTCACCTATGAGGCAGAAAGGTACGGTCAAAGTGACACACAGTCAGTCACCTGCCTGCGTATCTGTTTCATAGGAGTCTCATTCACATGTCTCCTGGATCTGAACCTAACCCTAACCCCTTCACATGTCTCTTGGATCTGACCCTAACCCTAACCCCTTCACATGTTTCTTGGATCTGACCCTAACCCATTCACATGTATCCTTGATCTGACCCTAAACCTAATACATTAACATGTCTCCTGGATCTGACCCTAACCCATTCACATGTCTCCTAGATCTGACCCTAACCCATTCACATGTCTCCTGGATCTGACCCTAACCCAAACTATTAACACGTCTCCTGGATCTGACCCTAACCCATTCACATGTCTCCTGGATCTGGGATTGGTTTGGAAGCAGGAGAGGAAAACTGGTCCCATGGGTCCTGATAATCAACACACACACACACACACACACACACACACACACACACACACACACACACACACAGAGTTACTTTGGGAAAAGTCAAACAAAATTCAAAGGAAGTTTGAACAACTAAACATCCCAGCATATCCAAGCCACACCCCTCCAGGCCAATCCTCTCCAGGCCACACCCCTCCAGGCAAACCCCTCCAGGCCACACCTCTTCAGGCCACACCCCTCCAGGCCAAACCCCTCCATGCTATGATATGCCAGGTGTATCTGCTCCCTGCCTGCATACAGCATATCTGTATCTCATTGTTTCTCTGTGTGTTCTAACCTCTGTGTATGTGATGATGTATCTGTAAGAAAACTCTATCCCTCCCCCTACTCAGGTCTGCACCAAAAGAAGAAAGCAAGCTGACTCAAACAGGCCGCGCACCAGGCTCTCTGGAACACATCCGGTCTCTCTGATGTAGAGCTATAATATATATCTAGCTATCGCTATCTCGCTCGGATCTCGTCTCTCTACCCTAATACTATTTCCATATCCATTCTCCTATCTCGTATCTGTCTCTTCTGCTCATCTCTCTCTCGTCTCTCTCTTCTCTCTCTCTCCTCTCTCTCTCTCTCTCTCTCTCTCTCTCTCTCCTCTCTCTCTCTCTCTAGGATGTGTGACACGAGGGAGGGTCTGTTTACATTCCAGACGCGGGAGGGAGAGATGATCTACCAGAGAGTCCACTCAGCCACCCTGTCCATCGCACAGCAACACGAGAGGATGGTGGAGGAGTTGGAGAAGACCTCACAGGTAACACACACACAACACACACACAACACACACACACACACACACACACACACACAACACACACACAACACACACACAACACACACACATTGAGCTCCAAAAGTGTTCGGACAGTGACATTATTTTGTTTTGTTTTGGTTCTGTACTCCAGCACTTCGGATTTGAAATGATACAATGACTATAAATTACAGCACTTTTTGTACATAGTCAACCCATTTTAGGGGACCAAAAGTATTGGGACAAATTCACTTGTATGTGTATTAAAGTAGTCAAAAGTTTAGTATTTGGTCCCATATTTCTAGCACGCAATGATTACATCAAGCTTGTGACTCTACAAACTTGTTGGATGCATTTGCTGTTTGTTTTGGTTGTGTATCAGATTAAATGAATGGTAAATAATGTATTGTGTCATTTTAGAGGCACTTTTATTGTAAATAAGAATAGAATATGTTTCTAAACACTTCTACATTAATAATAATAATATGCCATTTAGCAGACGCTTTTATCCAAAGCGACTTACAGTCATGCGTGCATAAATTTTTGTGTATGGGTGGTCCCGGGGATCGAACCCACTACCTTGGCGTTACAAGCGCCGTGCTCTACCAGCTGAGCTACAGAGGACCACATGGATGCTACCATGATTACGGATAGTCCCGTATGAATCGTGAATAATGATGAGTGAGAAAGTTACAGATGCACAAATATCAGACCCCCAAGACATGCTAACATCTCACCATTAGAATAACAAGGGGGCTTAGCATTTTTTTTTTGGGGGGGGTATGATATTTGTGTCTCAAGGGCTACAGAGAGTTTCCAGAGTGGGAAATGAGAAGTACCGTGCCACAGAAACCTTTTGGAGAACACTTTATAGAAAATTGGGTGCCATTTTGGAAACAACCCACGTACTGAAGAAGATGTTGTTGTTGTCTCTCTTTCAGACCCAATCCAACCAGACAACGTTAACCAAGTCCATCTCCCTGCCTCGCAGTGCCTACTGGCGTCACATAATGCGTCAGAACAGCGTTGGAGACATCTACAGCTACCAAGGTACGCACAACCTACCAAGGTACGCACAACCTACCAAGGTACGTACAACCTACCAAGGTACGCACAGCAGAGCTCAGCTAGACAGCTCAACAGAAAATATTATGTAAACACACACACACACACACACACACACACACACACACACACACACACACACATACACACACACTACCAGTTGCCAGTAATATTCGATACCCTTGTAGTTCAACATCCTCTTGGATGACTCTATGCACATAACCCTGAGATCACTAAACACACAAACACATATCTACACACACATACGTACACACAAGCAAACACACACGCAAACAGTATAATTTCACTTTTCACTCAGTAGAGTACTGGAGCATTTGGACCAGATTCCCTGGGTCTCACTTTGTCGTTGATACATCTATAATGTGATAAAACAGTGAAATAACCGTATTGTAATGGATAACGAGGTGAGAGATGTAAGATGGAATAAATGGAACAAACATTTCATTTACATTTCAGTCAATTAGCAGACGCTCTTATCCAGAGCGACTTACAGTGAGTGAGTGCATACATTATTAATTTATTTTTCATACTGGCCCCCCCCCGTGGGAATCGAACCCACAACCCTGGTGTTGCAAACGCCATGCTCTACCAACTGAGCTACATCCCTGCCAGCCATTCCCTCCCCTACCCTGGACGACGCCGGGCCAATTGTGCGCCGCCCCATGGGTCTCCCGGTCGCGGCCGGCTACGACAGAGACAAACCAGGGCCCATAATGATCATATAATATAGCCTATAATAACCATATAATTGCATGATTATGACTATATTACTACTGTAGATTAAAGGAAAGGTTCTCCCATTTTGATTGTTGTATTGTTTTTGTGCATCTCTGAGTGATGTTCTATCGATTCCCCTGGGTCAACCTATAACGCCCCACCCAGCCGACTGTCGAACCAATCGCGTTCGCTTTGTCATGCTGCGTCACGCGCAATCTCTTCTCAAAGTCAGTGTATATGTCAAGAAAACTCGCCTAATGTCACGATTCCAAAGCTATGCGATATTACGTATAGCTACGGTCCTCTGTAGCTCAGCATGGTAGAGCACGGCGCTTGTAACGCCAGGGTAGTGGGTTCGATCCCCGGTACCACCCATACACAAAAATGTATGCACGCATGACTTTAAGTCGCTTTGGATAAAAGCGTCTGCTAAGTGGCATATTATTATTACAGACAGCAAGTTAGTTATCTCACAACTCTGAAAAGATTTGTAATGTTGCGCTTCCTGTTGATGAAATTCGTGCTAATGTTGGGTTTTTATGTAGTAGTGCCCAATAGACTCCCATTCAGTCCTCGAAGGAGAGCGCTCCTTGACCCAGAATCACCCAGAATACACTGCACTGCGTTTCCCATCTCCTCAATGTTTCCCATCTCCTCAAAAGTATATCTGCCGTTGCGAATGTCAGACTCCATTCTGTGAGGAACATCGATCTGCAGGTTGAACATGGTGAGATTGTAGACTCCTAAATTGATAGTGCAGTTTGTTTAGGAGATTTTACAGCTAACTAGCTACTTCACATGCTGATATTGTCTTTGGTATTATAGTGTGTAGCTACGTTTACTAGCTAGCTAACTAGCTAGCCAGCCAGCCCATAGAGAGAGCATTGCATTGTGGATTTTGTAGTCGACATGAGCTGCAACAGATTTCCACAATGATTTTCCATGTTACTACCAACATTATTATAATGCCAAAATATTGTTCTCACATATTAGTGTTATTTAACACTGTAAATTAAAGGAATTGTGGTTTTGGGTGGATTTTTCCTTTAACTGAGTAGGTGCTAATTTGGGTGTGAGTGGATGTGAGAGATGTTAGATAAAACCTGTGGACCAGACTAGTCCCCTGTGTGTCACTCTGCCTGTGATGAATCTATAATATAAACTAGAGTCTCATCTATATTGGTTTAAGGAGGCAGACTAGACTAGCCTAATCTATATTGGTTTAAGGAGTCAGACTAGTCTTATAGCAACACAGTCTTTACGGAAGGTACCTAATAGCTGGCACCGGTGTAACTTGGCGGCCAGCTGGAGATAATCAGGTACAGAAGGGTTGTGTGTGTGTGTTTCTGTACATGGAGGAATGTGTCTGTGTGTGTATCTCTTTCTCTCTCTCTCTCTCCCTCTCTGCACCATCCCACTACCCCAGCAGCTGCCACTCTACCACCCCACCACCCCACCACCCCAGTAGCTGTCACCAGGCCAGATAGGATGACATGACCTTCCCTTGTAATGAAAAGGCTCTGACAAATCACAGTCTGTTTCTCACAGACTGGGGGAGAGTAGGGGATGGGGGGCTGCTACTGTCCATGGTCTGTGTTTGGGAGTGTGTGTGTACTTGTGTTGGTGTCTCTATGGTCCCTGGTCTGCTACGCTCCACACGGGGGGGGGTCTTCATCCAGAGCTTGGAACTTGACAAACCCACCCATGCCCTGACTTCTTCCACCGCATTACACTGACATTCGTGACAGAATAACACACCACGACATGGAGTCAGCAGGAGCGGCGGTGCCAACGGGATCACTGGAGGAGCGCGTTTTACAACAGGCGGCTATGATCCAGGATCTTGGCACCGCCATGGAAGGGGTGATGAACATTTTGAGGCGATGGGAAAGAGGAGGTCTGCCCACACCTCCTCCAACAATACCACCACATTTACATTTACATTTTAGTCATTTAGCAGACGCTCTTATCCAGAGCGACTTACAGTTAGTGAATACATATATATATTTTTCATACTGGTCCCCCGGGGGAATTGAACCCACAACCCTGGCGTTGCAAACGCCATGCTCTATCAACTGAGCTACATCCCTGCCGGCCATTCCCTCCCCTACCCTGGACAACGCTGGGCCAATTGTGCGCTGCCCATGAGTCTCCCGGTCGCGGCCGGCTGCGACAGAGCCTGGATTCGAACCAGGATCTCTAGTGGCACAGCTAGCACTGCGATGCAGTGCCTTAGACCACTGCGCCACTCAGGAGACTACCACCATCGTTTCACCTCTGGAGTCCAGTGGGATTCGGCTCTCGCTCCCGAGGGCTTATGATGGCACCGCGGCCGGGTGTCAGGGTTTCCTGCGCCAAGTGGAACTCTACCTGGCAACCATCCACCCGGCGCCCTCGGGATACGAGAGCGTTTCCGCCCTCATCTCCTGTCTGTCCGGCAAGGCGCTGGAGTGGGCCAACGCCGAGTGGTGGGGAATAGACGCACCTACAGTCAACAATGCGGAGTTCACCCGCCGCTTCAGGGCGGTGTTCGATCATCCCCCAGAGGGGAAGGCGGCGGGTGAGCGTCTGTTCCACCTCAGACAGGGGAAGAGGAGCGCGCAGGAGTTCGCACTGGACTGGTCTGATCAGTGTGTCGGGCGGTGTGTAGGTGTTTCCGTAGGGGCAACGACGGTGGAAAGTCCGAACCAAATTCCCACAATGCACATTCCTCCTGAGTATGCCGATTTGGCACTCGCCTTCTGTAAAAAGAAGGCGACTCAATTAACACCTCATCGACAGGGGGATTGTGCGATAGACCTCCAGGTAGGCGCTGCGCTTCCTCGTAGTCATGTGTATCCTCTGTCTCAGGAGGAGACGGTAGCTATGGAGACATACGTCACCGAATCTCTGAGACAGGGATACATACGGCCGTCCACTTCCCCTGCGTCCTCAAGTTTCTTTTTTGTGAAGAAGACGGATGGGGGTTTACGCCCGTGTATTGATTACCGTGGTCTCAATCAGATTACAATTAAATACAGCTATCCTCTCCCTCTGATTGCTAGTATTACGGAGTCATTACACGGGGCGCGATTCTTCACAAAACTGGATCTCAGGTGCGCTTACAACCTGGTGCGCATTAGGGAAGGAGATGAGTGGAAGACAGCATTCAGTACCACCTCGGGTCACTATGAGTACCTCGTGTGCCATACGGCTTAATGAATGCTCCTTCAGTCTTCCAATCATTTGTGGACAAGATTTTCCGGGATTTGCATGGACAGGGTGTAGTGGTGTATATTGATGACATTCTAATATACTCCGCTACACGAACCGAGCATGTGTCCCTGGTACGTCGGGTGCTGGGTAGACTGTTGGAGCATGACCTGTATGTGAAGGCGGAGAAATGTCTGTTTTTCCAGGAGTCCATCTCCTTCCTGGGACATCGGTTGTCTGCGTCAGGGGTGGAGATGGAGATTGACCGCGTTTCAGCCATGCGTAATTGGCAGACTCCCACTACGGTGAAGGAAGTGTAGCGGTTTTTGGGTTTTGCCAATTACTACCGGAGGTTTATCCGGGGTTTTGGACAGGTAGCAGCTCCCATCACCTCCCTGCTAAAGGGGGGCCTGGTGCGTTTGCAGTGGTCGGCTGAGGCGGACAGGGCGTTTAGACATCTGAAGGACCTGTTCACCTCGGTTCCGGTGCTGGCACATCCGGATCCCTCTTTGGTGTTCCAAGTTGAGGTGGATGCGTCCGAGGCGGGGATCGGTGCTATACTGTCTCAGCGCTCGGGCACGCCTCCAAAACTCCGCCCCTGTGCTTTCTATTCTAAGAAGCTCAGTCCGGCGGAACGCAATTATGACGTGGGGGACAGGGAGCTGTTAGCGGTGGTTCAAGCCCTGAAGGTGTGGAGACATTGGCTTGAGGGGGCTAAACACCCTTTTCTCATTCTAACTGACCATCGTAACCTGGAGTACATCCGGGCAGCGAGGAGACTGAACCCTCGTCAGGCTAGGTGGGCCATGTTTCTTGGCCGGTTTGTATTTAAGCTCACGTATATACCAGGGTCACAGAACGTTAAGGCAGACGCCCTGTCCCGACGATATGTTGCTGCTGACTTCGTCGGGTGAGGTTGTGTTTTCTCTAGCAGGAGGTAAGCTTGGCTTCTCATATGGTGTTGAGTAAAGCTTAAACCATGTATTTAGATCGTAGGTAGGTAGTTTATTTATGTAGTTATTTAGGTAGTTATTGTAGGTTTCCGTAGGCAATTATTGTAGGTAAGTATTGTTTACGTATTGTTTAAGTATTGTTACGGCGGAGCCCGGCGAAGCACGAGGCTAGCTAGCTAGCGGGTAGCTACTGGTAACGTTTATTGGTAATTATCTGTTTAGTGCAATGGTGGAGAGTGGTTTCCAATGTTAATGTGCTAGCTAATGTGCTAGCTAGCCAACGTTTATTTTTTTTTGCTGCGTTATGAAAGGAACTAGACACGGTCATGAATTATCTGTTTAGTGTGTTAACACACTCTTGGTATGCTAGCTAGCTAGCGGGTAGCTACTGGTAACGTTTATTGGTAATTATCTGTTTAGTGCAACGGTGGAGAGTTGTTTCCAATGTTAATGTGCTAGCTAGCCAACGTTTAAACTGTGTGTTATTGGATGCTAGCATGCTAGTTAGCTATGGCGTCATAGCTAGGCATCGTGGGCTGTTGTGGTTAGTTACTGTGGGTTGGCATTGTTTTTCGGCGGTGCCGGGGGTAGCACGAAGCTAGCTAGCTAGCCGTTCTTCAAACAAGGTCAACACAGTGGCCATTGCTAGCTAGCCAACAGACACGGACACGAATCATCTGCTTAGTGTGTTAACACACTATTGGTGGTTTGTTGTGACCAAGTGTTGGTGCTAAACTGTGTGTTTTTGGATGCTAGCATGCTAGTTAGCTATGGTGTCATAGTTAGCTAGCTGAATAAAGTGGGTTGAGTCTATTCCTTTAAACATTGAACCGCTGTGGTTCACAACAATTCTGATTTCTAAAGGCGGAAGTTCGTAGAGTTTTTGTTCGGGTGGTTCAGTGAAACAATTATAGTTTCTGAGGTAGAAGTTTTTGGTGAGGGAGGCCCTGCTCTCTACCCTCCCAGATGTTTAGTTCATTTCATTCCGATCTCCTCTGCATTATTGTAGCCATTTGCTACAGCCTGTCAACTATGCCTCTGCCTATCCCTGTTCTCTCCTCTCTGCACAGGCTACACAAACGCCCCACACCGCGTGGCTGCTGCCTCTCTAACCTGGTGGTCCCTGCACGCACCCCACACGTGGAGTTCCAGGTCTCAGGCAGCCTCTGGAACTGCCGTTCTGCTGCCAACAAAGCTGACTTCATCCCAGCCTATGCTAATCTCCAGTCCCTCGACTTCCTGGCGCTGACGGAAACATGGATTACCACTGAAAACACTGCTACTCCTACTGCTCGCTCCTCGTCTGACCATGTGTTCTCGCATACCCCGAGAGCATCTGGTCAGAGGGGTGGTGGCACAGGAATCCTCCTCTCTCCCAAGTGGACATTCTCAATTTTTCCCCTAACCCATCTGTCTATCTCCTCATTTGAATTCCATGCTGTCACAGTCACTAGCCCATTTAAGCTTAATATCCTTGTCATCTATCGCCCCCCAGGTTCCCTTGGAGAGTTCATCAATGAGCTTGACGCCTTGATAAGTTCCTTTCCTGAGGATGGCTCACCCCTCACAGTTTTGGGGGATTTCAACCTCCCTATGTCCACATTTGACTCATTTCTCTCTGCCTCCTTCTTTCCACTCCTCTCCTCTTTTGACCTCACCCTCTCACCGTCCCCCCCTACTCACAAGGCAGGCAATACGCTTGACCTCATCTTTACTAGATGCTGCTCTTCTACTAATCTCACTGCAACTCCCCTCCATGTCTCTGACCACTACTTTGTTTCCTTTTCTCTCTCGCTCTCCTCCCACACTACTCACTCTGCCCCTACACAGATGGTAATGCGCCGCCGCAACCTTCGCTCTCTCTCTCCCACTACTCTCTCCTCTTCCATCCTATCATCTCTTCCCTCTGCTCAATCCTTCTCCTCCAATCTCCTGATTCTGCCTCCTCAACCCTCCTCTCCTCCCTTTCTGCATCCTTGACTCTCTGTGTCCCCTATCCTCCGGCCGGCTCGGTCCTCCCCTCCAGCTCCGTGGCTTGATGACTCATTGCGAGCTCACAGAACAGAGCTCCGGGCAGCGGAGCGGAATGGAAGAAAACTCAACTCCCTGCCGACCTGGCTCGTTTTTCAACTCCAGCCTCCTTCCTCTCTAACATTTTCTTTTTTTCTTCATCTGTTTCTGCTGCTAAGGCCACTTTCTACCACTCTAAATTCCAAGCATCTGCCTCTAACCCTAGGAAGCTCTTGCCACATTTCTCCCTGCGACACAAAACAAAACAAAAAAAAAACACCCACCCAAAACAAAAACCAACCACCCAAAAAAAAAAGGAAACACGCCCCCGCAAACCCAAAAAAAACCACCCCCTGCACACCACTCACACTGCCCTACCCTATGCTTTGACTTCTTCCTCCCCTCTCTCTCCAGATAAAATCCTGCGACTTGTGACTGCAGGCCGCCCAACAACCTGCCCGCTTGACCCCATCCCCTCCTCTCTTCTCCAGACCATCTCCGGTGACCTTCTCCCCTACCTCACCTCGCTGATCAACTCATCCTTGACCGCTGGCCATGTCCCTTCCGTCTTCAAGAGAGCGAGAGTTGCTCCCCTTCTCAAAAAACCAACACTCGATCCCACTGATGTCAACAACTACAGACCAGTATCCCTTCTTTCTTTTCTTTCCAAAACTATTGAGCGTGCCGTCTTTAGCCAACTCTCTTGCTATCTCTCTCAGAATGACCTTCTTGATCCAAACCAGTCAGGTTTCAGGACTGGTCATTCAACTGAGACTGCTCTTCTCTGTGTCACGGAGGCTCTCCGCACTGCTAAAGCTAACTCTCTCTCCTCTGCTCTTGTCCTTCTAGACCTGTCTGCTGCCTTTGATACTGTGAACCATCAGATCCTCCTCTCCACCCTCTCCGAGCTGGGCATCTCCGGCGCGGCTCACTCCTGGATTGCGTCCTACCTGACCGGTCGCTCCTACCAAGTGGCGTGGCGAGAAGCTGTCTCCGCACCACGTGCTCTCACCACTGGTGTCCCCCAGGGCTCAGTTCTAGGCCCTCTCCTTTTCTCCCTATACACCAAGTCACTTGGCTCTGTCATATCCTCAAATGGCCTCTCCTATCATTGCTACGCTGACGATACACAACTAATCTTCTCCTTTCCCCCTTCTGATAACCAGGTGGCGAATCGCATCTCTGCATGTCTGGCAGACATATCAGTATGGATGACGGATCACCACCTCAAGCTGAACCCTGGCAAGACGGAGCTGCTCTTTCTCCCGGGGAAGGACTGCCCGTTCCATGATCTCGCCATCACGGTTGACAACTCCGCTGTGTCCTCCTCCCAGAGTGCGAAGAGCCTAGGCGTGACCCTGGACAACACCCTGTCGTTCTCCGCCAACATCAAGGCGGTGACCCGCTCCTGCAGGTTCATGCTCTACAACATTCGGAGAGTACGACCCTGCCTTACACAGGAAGCGGCACAGGTCCTAATCCAGGCACTTGTCATCTCCCGTCTGGACTACTGCAACTCGCTGTTGGCTGGCCTCCCTGCCTGTGCCATTAAACCCCTACAACTCATCCAGAATGCCGCAGCCCGTCTGGTGTTCAACCTTCCCAAGTTCTCTCACGTCACCCCCCTCCTCCGCACACTCCACTGGCTTCCAGTTGAAGCTCGCATCCGCTACAAGACCATGGTGCTTGCCTATGGAGCAGTGAGGGGAACGGCACCTCTGTACCTTCGGGCTCTGATCAGTCCCTACACCCAAACGAGGGCATTGCGTTCATCCACCTCTGGCCTGCTGGCTCCCCTTCCTCTGCGGAAGCATAGCTCCCGCTCAGCCCAGTCAAAACTGTTCGCTTCTCTGGCACCCCAATGGTGGAACAAGCTCCCTCACGACGCCAGGACAGCGGAGTCACTCACCACCTTCCGGAGACATTTGAAACCCCACCTCTTTAAGGATTACCTGGGATAGGATAAAGTAATCCTTCTACCCCCCCCCCCCCCCCCAAAAAAAAAATTGTAAGGTGGTTATCCCACTGGCTATAGGGTGAACGCACCAATTGGTGAGTCGTTCTGGATAAGAGCGTCTGCTAAATGACTAAAATGTAATGTAATGTAAATGATATGACACAGAGGAGAGGTCCATTGAGCCCACTCCCATACTACCGGAGTCTTGTCTAGTGGCACCGGTGGTGTGGGAGGTCGATGCGGAAATCGAGTGGGCGTTACCTGCCGACCCTACTCCCCCAGAGTGTCCAGAGGGGCTGAGGTACGTGCCGCTCGAGGTCCGTGATCGACTGATATATTGGGCTCACACGTCACCCTCCTCTGGTCATCCTGGTATTGGTCGGACGGTGCACTGCCTTAGCGGGAAGTACTGGTGGCCCACCTTAGCTAGGGACGTGAGGGTTTACGTTTCTTCCTGCTTGGTGTGCGCCCAGAGTAAGGCGCCTAGACACCTGCCCAGAGGGAAGTTACAACCTCTACCCGTTCCACAACGGCCGTGGTCTCACCTATCGGTGGATTTTGTCACGGACCTTCCCCCCTCCCAGGGGAATACCACGATCTTGGTCGTTGTGGATCGGTTTTCTAAGGCCTGCCGTCTCATTCCAATGCCAGGTCTTCCTACAGCCCTACAAATGGCCGACGCCCTGTTTAATCACGTTTTCCGGTACTACGGGGTGCCTGAGGATATAGTGTCTGATCGGGGTCCCCAGTTCACCTCTAGAGTTTGGAGGGCGTTTATGGAACATTTGGGGGTCTCGATTAGCCTTACCTCGGGTTTTCACCCTGAGAGTAATGGGCAGGTGGAGAGAGTAAACCAGGATGTGGGTAGGTTTCTGAGGTCCTATTGCCAGGACCGGCAGGAGGAGTGGTCGGGGTATATCCCCTGGGCAGAGATAGCCCAAAACTCACTCCGCCACTCCTCTACTAATCTTACGCCTTTTCAGTGTGTGTTGGGTTATCAGCCGGTCCTGGCACCCTGGCATCAGAGCCAAATCGAAGCTCCTGCAGTGGATGAGTGGTTTCGGCGCTCGGAGGAAACATGGAACGCTGCGCATGTCCATCTGCAGCGGGCTATCAGACGGCAAAAGGTGAGCGCCGATCGCCACCACAGTGAGGGTCCGGTTTATGCACCGGGAGATCGGGTCTGGCTCTCGACCCGAAACCTGCCCCTTCGCCTGCCCTGCCGGAAGCTGGGTCGGCGGTTTGTGGGGCCATTTAAAGTCCTGAGGAGATTGAACGAGGTATGTTATAGGTTACAACTGCCCATTAATTACCGCATTAACCCCTCGTTCCATGTGTCTCTCCTCAGGCCGGTGGTAGCTGGTCCACTCCAGGAGAATGAGATACGAGAGGCTCCTCCGCCCCCACTAGACATCGAGGGGGCTCCGGCGTACTCAGTCCGTTCCATCGTGGATTCGAGGCGTCGGATGGGGGGTCTGCAGTATCTCGTGGAGTGGGAGGGGTACGGTCCGGAGGAACGGTGCTGGGTCCCTAGGAGGGACATCCTAGATCCCTCCCTGTTGAGGGATTTCCACCGGAGTCATCCGACTCGCCCTGCTCCGCGTCCTCCTGGCCGTCCCCGAGGCCGGTGTCGGCGCAAGGCTGGAGCCGTGCGTCAAGGGGGGGGGGTACTGTCACGGATTCAGCCGAGGCTGCTCCTCCTCCTTGCTCGGGCAGGCTTCGGCGTTCGTCGTCCCCGGAGTACTAGCTGCTGGCGATCGATGTTTCAGTGTTTGTCTAGTTTAGTCTTTATTGTTTACACCTGTTCCCCATTATGTTTTATTGTATTCCCTATATTTACCCCTGTCTCTCATTTGGAATTTGTGTGTTATTGTTCCTAGTTATGTGTGTTGTTGGTGAGCTCCTCCCTGTGTGGAGGTATTCTGTGTTGTGTTCTTTACTTCGTTTAGTAAAGTACGTTTCTTAGAGTTTCTGCGTCCTGCGCCTGACTTCTTCCACCGCATTACACTGACATTCGTGACACCTATATTGCGGTGGATAGAGGAAGAGATTTCAGTCTTTCCAGCCTACATTGCAGTGGATAGAGGAAGGGATTTCAGTCTTTCCAGCCTATATTGCGGTGGATAGAGGAAGGGATTTCAGTCTTTCCAGCCTATATTGCAGTGGATTGTCACGGTTTCTGCCGAGGCTGCTCCTTCTCCTTGTTCGGGCAGGCTTCGGCGGTCGTCGTCCCCGGAGTACTAGCTGCCACCGTTCATTGTTTCTGTGTTCGTTTGGTTTGGTCTGTTTTGGTACACCTGTTTCTCATTTTGTCTTGATTATGTGTCCTTTAAGTTCTCGTTGTTTCTGTCTTGTGGTTGTGTGTAGTTGTTCATTGTCAGCAGGTGTTTCTATGTCAAGTTTGTGCTCTATTTCTGTAGAGAGTCCGCACTATTGTGCGTGTTTTGTTTATTACGCTGAGTGCGTTATTTTTCTTGTGCCTCCGGCTCTGTTTGTAGCCGTTCATTCTGTGGACTTTATTAAAGTATTTTGGACTACTTCTGCATCCTGCATCTGTTTTCCACACCACCCCTACGCCAGCTTTGACAGAACTACACACCACTCATGGAATCAGCAGGAGCAGCAGCAGCGACCGAGTCATGGGAGGAGCGCGTCCGCGGACAGGATGACAGGATAGCTCAAATCACCAACGCTCTGCAGGGAGTAATGAATACCCTGCATCGCCTGGAGACCAGTTGGGTACCCACGCCTCCTCCCACATTACCACCAGCACCGGTCAGTCCCTTTGTCCACGCTCCGGAACCCAGTGGGATTCGGCTCTCGCTCCCGAGGGCGTATGATGGTACCGCTGCCGGGTGTCAAGGATTCCTCCTACAAATTGAACTCTACCTCGCCACCGTACACCCGGTGCCCTCGGGACACGAGAGCGTTTCCGCCCTCATCTCCTGTCTCACCGGCAAGGCGTTGGAGTGGGCCAACGCCGAATGGAGGAGAATAGACCCCGCGACGATCACCTATACGGAGTTCTCCCGTCGCTTCAGGGCTGTATTCGACCATCCACCTGAGGGGAAGGCGGCGGGAGAACGTCTATTCTACCTCCGACAGGGGAAGAGGAGCGCCCAGGAGTTTGCACTGGAGTTCCGGACTCTAGCGGCAGACGCAGGGTGGAATGAGCGGGCCCTCATAGACCACTTCCGCTGCAGCCTACGGGAGGACGTCCGTCGTGAGTTGGCCTGCAGGGACACCACCCTCACATTTGACCAGTTGGTGGACATGGCCATTCGCCTAGACACCCTGCTGGCCACCCGCGGACGTCCTGAGTGGGGGTCGTCCATTCCACCCTCCAGCACCTCCGAGCCTAGTCCTATGGAGCTCGGGGGTGCTGGCGCTAGAGAGGAGAGGAGAAGGAGCCCTTGGGGGACCAACCCCTGTACCAACTGTGGCCGTGGAGGACACAAAGCGGCCAGGTGCTGGGGGGGGTCTCCTAGGGGACGAGACGGCAGGCCACGCACTGGGGAGTCCTTCCAGGTGAGTAGGCGCCCCACTTACCCAGAGCTCTCTGTTGTGCACCTAACCATACCTGTTTGCTTCCCACAGGTTGCACCTCGTTCCCAGCATAAGGCGCTAGTAGATTCAGGCGCAGCTGGGAATTTTATAGATCGGAGATTTTGTGCAGAGTTAGGGATTCCCCTCCTTCCTGTCAACAAACCTTTCCCTGTACATGCTCTAGATAGCCGTCCGTTGGGATCGGGGTTGATTAGGGAGGTCACAGCTCCACTTAGGATGGGGACGCAGGAGGGTCATGAGGAGACTATACAGCTATATCTTATTGACTCTCCTGCGTATCCGGTGGTGCTGGGGCTTCCCTGGTTGATTACCCATAATCCCTCTATTTCGTGGAAACAGAGGGCTCTTAAGGAGTGGTCTGCCCAGTGTGTAGGGCGATGTCTGGGCGTTTCCGTAGGGGCGACCTCAGTGGAGAGTCCAAACCAAGTGCCCGCATTGCACATTCCCCCCGAGTATGAGGATTTAGCACTTGTGTTTAGTAAGGCGAAGCCGACGCAATTGCCACCACATAGACAGGGGGATTGTGCGATAGACCTCCAGGTAGGAGCTGCGCTTCCGCGGAGCCATGTGTATCCTTTGTCTCAAGAGGAGAAGAGAGCTATGGAGACTTACATAGCCGAGTCTCTGAGACAGGGATACATACGGCCCTCCACTTCCCCTGCGTCCTCTAGTTTCTTTTTTGTGAAGAAAAAGGATGGAGGTTTGCGCCCGTGTATTGATTACCGCAGTCTCAATCAGATTACTGTGAAATACAGTTATCCACTCCCTCTGATTGCGACTATGACGGAGTCTTTACACGGGGCGCGGTTCTTCACAAAATTGGACCTCAGGAGCGCATACAACTTGGTGCGTATTAGGGAGGGAGACGAATGGAAGACAGCATTTAGTACCACCTCGGGTCATTACGAGTATCTCGTCATGCCATACGGGTTAATGAATGCTCCTTCAGTCTTCCAATCCTTCGTAGATGAGATCTTCCGGGATATGCAGGGGCAAGGAGTGGTCGTGTACATTGACGACATTCTGGTGTATTCTTCTACCCGAGCCGAGCATGTAGCCCTGGTGCGCCGAGTGTTGAGGAGATTGTTGGAGCATGACCTGTATGTCAAGGCAGAGAAATGTCTGTTTTTCCAGGAGTCTGTCTCCTTTTTGGGTTATCAGTTGTCTGCGTCAGGGGTAAAGATGGAGGTTGACCGTGTGTCGGCCGTGCGTAATTGGCAAACTCCAACCACTGTTAAAGAGGTGCAGCGGTTCTTGGGCTTTGCGAATTACTACAGGAGGTTTATCCGGGGTTTTGGACAGGTGGCAGCTCCCATAACGTCTCTTCTAAAGGGAGGTCCGGTGCGCTTGCAGTGGTCTGCTGAGGCTGATAGGGCTTTTGGGAGACTGAAGGACCTGTTTACCTCGGCGCCGGTGCTGGCGCATCCGGATCCCGCGCTACCATTCCAGGTCGAGGTAGACGCGTCAGAAGCCGGTATAGGGGCCGTGCTCTCGCAACGGTCTGGCACGCCCCTGAAACTCCGCCCCTGTGCCTTTTACTCTAAAAAGCTCAGTCCGGCGGAGCGAAATTATGACGTGGGGGACAGGGAGCTGCTAGCCGTGGTCCAGGCCCTAAAGGTGTGGAGGCATTGGCTTGAGGGGGCTCAACACCCTTTCCTCATTTTGACTGACCACCGAAACCAGGAGTACATCCGGGCAGCTAGGAGACTGAACCCTCGCCAGGCTAGGTGGAACATGTTTCTGGCCCGGTTCGTTTTTAAGATCACGTACATCCCTGGGTCCCAGAACGGTAAGGCAGATGCCCTGTCCCGGCGGTATGACACGGAGGAGTGGTCCGTTGAGCCCACGCCCATACTCCCGCCGTCTTGCCTGGTGGCACCGGTGGTGTGGGAGGTCGATTCCGAAATCGAGCGGGCGTTGCGTACCGATCCTAGCCCTCCACAGTGTCCTGTGGGTCGGACGTACGTTCCGCTCGAGGTTCGGGATCGACTTATATATTGGGCTCACACGTCACCCTCCTCTGGACATCCAGGGATTGGCCTGACGGTGCACTGCCTTAGCACTAAGTACTGGTGGCCAACGTTAGCCAGGGATGTGAGGGTTTATGTTTCCTCCTGCTCGGTGTGTGCCCAGTGTAAGGCACCCAGACACCTGCCCCGGGGTAAGCTACAACCCCTGCCCGTTCCACAACGACCCTGGTCTCACCTCTCGGTGGATTTTGTTACTGACCTTCCCCCCTCCCAGGGAAATACCACCATCCTGGTCGTTGTGGATCGGTTCTCGAAGGCCTGTCGTCTCCTTCCCATGCCGGGTCTCCCCACTGCCCTACAGACCGCTGAGGCACTATTCACTCACGTCTTCCGGCATTACGGGGTACCCGAGGATATAGTGTCTGATCGAGGTCCCCAGTTCACCTCTCGAGTCTGGAGAGCGTTCATGGAGCGCTTGGGGGTCTCGGTGAGCCTTACCTCGGGGTACCACCCGGAGAGCAATGGGCAGGTTGAACGGGTAAACCAGGATGTGGGTAGGTTTCTGAGGTCGTATTGCCAGGGCCGGTCGGAGGAGTGGGCGAGGTATATTCCCTGGGCCGAGATGGCTCAGAACTCCCTTCGCCACTCCTCCACCAGACTCACTCCTTTCCAATGTGTACTAGGGTACCAGCCGGCTCTGGCACCTTGGCATCAGAGCCAGATCGAGGCTCCTGCGGTGGATGAGTGGGTGCGGCGCTCGGAGGAGACATGGAACGCTGCTCACGTACATCTGCAGCGGGCCATCCGTCGACACAAGGCGAGCGCCGATCTCCACCGCAGTGAGGGACCGGTGTACGCACCGGGAGATCGAGTCTGGCTCTCGACCAGAAATCTGCCCCTCCGCCTGCCCTGCCGGAAGCTGGGTCGGCGGTTTGTGGGGCCTTTTAAAGTCCTGAGGAGGTTGAACGAGGTGTGTTACAGATTACAACTTCCTATTGATTATAAGAATATTAACCCCTCGTTCCATGTGTCTCTCCTCAGGCCGGTGGTAGCTGGTCCACTCCAGGACTGTGAGATAGCAGAGACTCCTCCGCCCCCGCTGGACATCGAGGGGGCTCCGGCGTACACAGTTCGGTCCATCCTGGATTCGAGACGCCGGATGGGGGGTCTCCAATATCTCGTGGAGTGGGAGGGGTACGGTCCGGAGGAGCGGTGCTGGGTGCCGAGGAGAGATATCTTAGACCCGTCGCTTCTGACTGAGTTCCATCGTGGTCATCTCACGCGCCCTGCTCCGCGTCCTCCTGGTCGTCCCCGAGGCCGGGGTCGGCGCACGGCTGGAGCCGCGCGTCAAGGGGGGGGTACTGTCACGGTTTCTGCCGAGGCTGCTCCTTCTCCTTGTTCGGGCAGGCTTCGGCGGTCGTCGTCCCCGGAGTACTAGCTGCCACCGTTCGTTGTTTCTGTGTTCGTTTGGTTTGGTCTGTTTTGGTACACCTGTTTCTCATTTTGTCTTGATTATGTGTCCTTTAAGTTCTCGTTGTTTCTGTCTTGTGGTTGTGTGTAGTTGTTCATTGTCAGCAGGTGTTTCTATGTCAAGTTTGTGCTCTATTTCTGTAGAGAGTCCGCACTATTGTGCGTGTTTTGTTTATTACGCTGAGTGCGTTATTTTTCTTGTGCCTCCGGCTCTGTTTGTAGCCGTTCATTCTGTGGACTTTATTAAAGTATTTTGGACTACTTCTGCATCCTGCATCTGTTTTCCACACCACCCCTACGCCAGCTTTGACATGGATAGAGGAAGGGATTCCAGTCTTTCCAGAGATAGAAGAGAGGGCTGTGGTTGGCTGCACTCCGGCTGTTTCACAAATATCTAATAAGGAGACAAAAAGAGAATTGTCCCTCTTTCCCCTGCTGCGGTCTCAGTGATTTTCAAAAGTGGTGATAGGAGTGAGTGAACAGTGGAGGATCTGTACTGGGAACATTTTGAAGTGGATAATTTTGCTTCTGGAGAATATATTTTTGCGTGTGTGTGACTCACTTCACCTGTTCTGTCTGAAACCCACTGCTCTGATTGGCTTCACATCACCCCGTCAAGCTTCTCTCTCTTCCTCCTCTCTTTCCCCACCCCCCTTTAGCTCCCTCTTGGACTCACACATTTGTTCTCTCTCTCTCTCTCTCTCTCTCTCTCTCTCTCTCTCTCTCTCTCTCTCTCTCTCTCTCTCTCTCTCTCTCTCTCTCTCGCTCTCTCTCTCTCTCTCGCTCTCTCTCTCTATTTCTTTATTTCTTTCTTTATTTCTCTCTCTCTCTCTTTCTCTCACTCTCTCTTTCTCTCCCCACATACACATTTGCTTACACCTGTAATCAAATAGTCCTCATCCTCTCTCTCTCTGCCCCTGCTCCCACGCCCATGCTTTATGTGGAAGAGTCATTGGCAGGCAGACAGACAGACACACTGGCACCACAGTGTGGGAGTACTGCTAGCCTGGCACCACACTGAAGAGGCAGGCTGACACAGAGAGTGGCACAAACCAGTGACCACACAGCAACACCCTCCAGATTGAATCCAGCCACAGCTAGACCGGACCAGTGACCACTGGAGGGGGTTCACACATATACTGTCTTTGATATAAAAATGGACACACCTGCACCATAGAACACCTGCACCATAGAACACCTGCAGCATAGAACACCTGCATCATAGAACACCTGCACCATAGAACACCTGCAGTATAGAACACCTGCAGCATAGAACACCTGCATCATAGAACACCTGCACCATAGAACACCTGCAGTATAGAACACCTGCAGTGTAGAACACCTGCAGTATAGAACTCCTGCACCATAGAACACCTGCAGTATAGAACACCTGCACCATAGAACACCTGCACCATAGAACACCTGTAGTATAGAACACCTGCAGTATAGAACACCTGCACCATAGAACACCTGCAGTATAGAACACCTGCAGTGTAGAACACCTGCAGTATAGAACACCTGCAGTATAGAACACCTGCACCATAGAACACCTGCAGTATAGAACACCTGCAGTATAGAACACCTGCACCATAGAACACCTGCAGTATAGAACACCTGCACCATAGAACACCTGCAGTATAGAACACCTGCAGTATAGAACACCTGCACCATAGAACACTTGCAGCATAGAACACCTGCAGTATAGAACACCTGCACCATAGAACACCTGCAGTATAGAACACCTGTAGTATAGAACACCTGCAGTATAGAACACCTGCAGTATAGAACACCTGCACCATAGAACACCTGCAGTATAGAACACCTGCAACATAGAACACCTGCAGTATAGAACACCTGCATTATAGAACACCTGCACCATAGAACACCTGCAGTATAGAACACCTGCAGTATAGAACACCTGCACCATAGAACATAACAGGTGATTTGCAATTCATTAATTCAGTTTCAGTTCATCTCAAGAGTTGCTTGCCCCCAACCCTGTGTACTGTAATTGCTTTGCTTTGGCCTATTAGATTGGATGGTCTAGAGAGTACTTGACCTCATGAAATATTGACAGTTGTCCACTTCCTCTCTGGTCAGCAACATCCAATCAGCAGTCCTCTGTACTGAACGGTGTCCTCATCTTAACTCCTAGACTAGCTGACTCCTATCCATTATTAAGGACCATTGTCAGTGAACAACACCACACAGTATCCATTTACATCCCTATTTCCACAGATATCCAATAACAGGAAGTCTGAAGTAATGTTGATAATTCATTTGAATTAAGGAAGAGGGGAGTTTTTCCTGAGGTTGTTTTGTTGTGCAGAGAAATACGTTAAAAATGTATGGCTGTACAGTACAACAAAGCAAACACTGGGAACTGTTGTTGTGAACAAATGTTTTCAACAGACACAGACACTCTCAGATTTGATAAAGAGATATGAGACCAACACCTTCTATGCTTCATGTTGGGGCGAAACAAGACAGACTCTTGCAATACCCATGTTATTATTATAGTGTCATGCATCTTCAGGGTGCCCAGCCCAAATAAGACACTGTATTTGTTGTATCCAAATAAAATGATCATACTTGCATCACAGGAGGCTGCTGAGGGGAGGACGGCTCATAATAATGTCCGGAACGGAGCAAATGGAATGGCATCAAAAACCTGGAAACCATGTATTTGATGTATTTAATACCGCTCCAGCCATTACCACAAGCCCGTCCTCCCCAATTAAGGTGCTAACAACCTCCTGTGATACACATTTGCACTCCTACTGAAATGAAAAATTATTGAAACCCAAAACAAATACCTTTTAATTATACAACTCATCTTGTCTCGTCTTCCAAGCTTTGGAAATAAAATTTGCATTCAAGGAACCGTTGTTTTCTGAAGACATTCAAGTCTTTCTTCATCACTACTCCAGAACAGTTCTGGTTTCTGTCGTTGCATTTTTTCTAACAAGGTTACTCTTAAATCATCATAAAAGGAAAAAAAAGTGTAGTTCATTCTCTCCACTAAATCACAGACAGTACATAGACACTCTTCATCTATGGCATTGAACCTACCTACTTAAATTGCCAGAGGCAGTATCCCAGTTCTCAACTGGGCACACAAGGATCTTTGATTTCTTGTTAGGTGACAGGTGACGTATGTTTCTGGATTTTTGATCTGGTTAGAAGTTCTGTGTTTTGGTTTTAGCCATATGTCAGTTGCCCATTTTTCCTTGGAGGTAAGGGTTAACTGGTGTTTGATCACGTTGACATTTCATTGTAACTGGTATCTAAATATGTTTTCTAGCTCAGCTAACTTAAATATGTCATTGAGTTCCTTTGTCCAGGGGTAATTGTGTGTTTTTTATATCCCAGTTGAAATAGTGTTTTGTTGTTCTGTCCTCTGACATATTGGTAAGACGGCTCCGTAACCATTTAACCCTCTGTCTTATTTCACCGGGCTCCCATCCCATGTCTCTTTGAATAGCAATGCTGGGGGCAAGCTTATGCACTCCAAGGAAACATCTTCTTGCTCTGTTTTGACTAGAGTTAGCTGTTTTGTAGAATGAAACAATGTATGTAGTACCACTGGAGACTACTGAGAGGGGAGGAAGGCTCATAACAATGGCTGGAAAGGAACGAATGGAATTGCATCAAACACATAGAAACCGTGTGTTTGATGTATTTGATACCATTCCACTGATACCGCTCCAGCCATTACCACGAGCCCATCTTCCCCCAACCTCCTGTGGTATGTACTGGTATGGACGTTGGGATGTAGTCAGAGAGACGGCCCTCTTCCTCACCACAGTCTTCTGCTGTTTCCAGGTACTAGCCTGACGATGACCCTGATGACCCGAGCACAGACCTTCCCCAGCTTCCTCTCTGAACAGACAGAAGAAGAGCAGTCCTCACAGCACCAGGAAGAGGCACTGTCCCCCTCCAGTGGCTACGGCTCACACTGCAGCCAGGTGACGCTCCAATGACAAGCACCTTAAGAACAGGCCAAAAACTGGACATTCCAACACTTTAGAAAGGCTGTAGAAATATGTATAGGAAAATGTATAAAATATAATTTTATGTTAATACATTACGATGATAGTGTTAATTGTAGACAGGTACATATATATATATATACTTATGAAAGGATTATTGCGGGACACCTTGCTGGGTCCCGTTCATTAAGGAGATCTGTTCTACCTTTCTGTAATATTTGTGGCCGTTTCAGTCTGTTCACCTGCAACAAGCACCACATCCCTCCATTTGAAAATGGTCTGCTTGTTCACGAGTACAGGTCTGTACATACTGTATGTGTAGATCTATAAAGCATCCCAACTTCAAAAGGCATGAACAAATCCATACAATGAAAATATGAGCAAATCTGAGTAGCACTTACAGGCTCATAGGCTTAGACTATCTAACTCCGACCCTTGTTAACAAGCAGTTTGTTTGGCTTCTGTGTGGAGCCCTCAGAACTGTTCTGACTACTGATGTTTTCCGGTACTCGCGCCCTGTCCTCCAGCCACAGAATGAAGTGCCTTGTGACGCATGCAAACTGCAGTGTGACACCACTGCACCAGACACCCACAGGCCTCTGTCTCTGGGTCCGTGTCTTGTCAATGTTAGCCATGATGACGGTACATCTCTGGAGCAAGACCTTCTGAAAATAGTCTTGTCAATTTGTATTAAAATGTTTTGTCTTGTCATTATCTGAGAAATGATCAAGTTTCCACCAATTCACTGTTTCCAAGAACACAAAGTCAACGTTCACAAGAAAAGACAATGCATTTATTGAGGTACGCAGATGAGCATATTAGTCAAAACACTGTTTATCCTATTGAGTCACTTGAGTGAATTATTTTGTCAAAGTTTGATTATTTATTTTCATAGCGGTAGATTTGTTTATATGGAATCCCAGAAACGTCCAAGAAACAGTATAAAATAATAACCATGAATAGCATGTATTTAGATCACAGAATTAGCTGTTTGTTTAGTTCTACCTAACACATATGTTAATATATTTAACCTCAACGTGGGTTGGATGAACAAAGAAAGTGCCCTTCTACGAAAGGTTCTCATTATCTATTTGTTACGATGGTAACTGTGTGAAACTCAGTACTGTACAGCAAACTATTTTACACAACTGTAAAGGGAGGAAAATGTTCCAGTTAGTTTGGCGTATTTATACGACTGTGGTAAGGAGAGAAAGTAGTTCCAGGTTGTTCTGTGATGTCCATCATTTACTGTTTTCCACGTTGCATTTCCTTCTCCTGTTGTTTATGTCAGCCATTTTGTTTGAATATAATAGAGGAATAGACAGGAGGTATTCCGTCCGGCACGACACTACACACTGTTCCTACCACCACAATGTTAGTTTGATGTTTATGTCTAAATAATCACACGCTACATGCATTTGTGTTTTCTTTTTACTTTGTCGTAATATTTGTTAAAAGCACTTTTAATACATTGAGTGTATGATTACTTTGTCCGCTCACTAAACGTATATACTGTGTGTAATATGTTTTTATTTTGATGAGGTAAGAGAATAAATTGAATGTACATGCTGTCAAAGTATAACGTTTTTATTTTTTTATATTTTGCATCTTCTTTGTTCTACCGATTTACCCAACATGCAACAGGTCTAAATGCAGTTGCAATAGGCTACCTGATAAACGATTAGTGAAAAAGTAACTAGGGCAGAGATTCAATCAAAGGCGCATTGCAATGTGCTTTAAAAGTCCATTTTGCAGACGTTCACGGAGAACGCATTCATGGCAAGCGCTGCGGATGTCGGCGAAGCATAAATTACCTTTAAAAGTCAAGTGCAATGCGCTTGTCTACAACACACCTTTGATTTAAACCCGGCCAAACACTCCTAGAAAATACCAATTGATGTCACAGTAGAGTTGGTTTTACTTAGTTCACACAAGGTCACAGAGAAACAGACGGTATCAGCACCTATTGTACAGATGTAGGCTTAACACATTGACAAGACTAAAACCCTGTATTCCCAATACACATTGTCCATTATTCTTCATTCTTCCTCTTCCTCTTCTTGCTGAGAGCCCAAGACATCTTTCATTCCCAAGACCTCCATTTTATTCTTAGCTATGAATAGAATTGCATTTTGTCCAACACAGTCAGAATAATTTCTAATCACAGCATTCACATACACTGAGTGTACATAACATTAAGAACACCTTCCTAATATTGAGTTGCACCCCACTCAATTTATCGGGGCATGGACTCTACAAGGTGGCGAAAGCGTTCAACAGGGATGCTGGCCCATGTTGATTCCAAAGCTTTCAACAGTTGTGTCAAGTTGGCTGGATGTCCTTTGGGTGGTGGACCATTCTTGATACTCATGGGAAACTGTTGAGTGTGAAAAAAACAGCAACGTTGCAGTTCTTGACACAAACCTGTGCGCCTGGCACCTACTACCATACCCCGTTCAAAGGCACTTACATTTTTTGTCTTGCTAATTCACCCTCTGAATGGCACACATGCACAATCCATGTCTCAATTGTCTCAAGGCTTAAATATCCTTCTTTAACCTGTCTCCTCCCCTTCATGTACGCTGATATATGTGGATTTAACAGGTGACATCAATAAGGGATCATAGCTTTCACATGGATTCATCTGGTCAGTCTGTCATTGAAATAGCAGGTGTTCTTAATGTTTTGAATACTCAGTGTAGGTTCTACAGTTAGAATGAGAATAAATATTTGATCTATGGCTTAGATGCAGAAAACATACAATGTTTCAATTGATTATCATAATTCTGCGTCAGAGAAATTCCATGATAACATTCCATGACTTCCATGAGAACCCACAGGACTCAATCTGCATAATAACAACCAGGAAATACAGCATTCCCTGAGGATGACACGGCATGATTGCTTTGTTCGTTGTCACACGATTGAGTTAGAGACGACTGTGAGGATTTGAATAGAGAATGTGATAGTTTATAATGGTGAACACTTTTAATGACAGTTTGCTTGTATGATGTTATATCACTTCTGCATGTGAAGCCTTCAACAATACGGTACATATTGATGGTATTCATGCAATACGTGCTACATGTTGATTATTGGCAGAACTGTATCTAAACAAACCTTCAATGTTTCAAGGGATTACATAGTAATTGAGTTGCATCGTTTTTGAGTACAACCATATATTAACAGAGGTCAGACAGGGGTCTGTAACAGAGGTCAGAGGTCAGACAGGGGTCTGTAACACAGCACCGAGGTCA